GCTCTGTCAGGACGTTCCTCCTAATGTTTAGCTGAAAACTCTTCTGGTTTAATGTCAACCCATTGGATCTGGTCTGACCTTCTGGGGCGACAGAAAACAACTCCGACCCATCCTCTATCTGACAGCCCTTCAAGGACTTGGAGATGGTTTTCATATCCCCTCTCAGTCGTCTCCTCTCCAGGCTAAACATACCCAGTTCCTTCAGCCTTTCCTCACAGGACTTGGTCTCCAGACCCCTCACCGTCTTCGTTGCCCTCCTCGTTCCAGCTTGTCTAGATCCTTCTTAAATTGTGCCCCCCCCAAACTGAACACAGTGAGAGGATCCCAAAGCCGGGTTGTGGCATGACACAGCCATCTCTCACACCCATGTGGCTGAAACTGCGGAGGCAGATTGTGTACAGCGGCGGTTGCTAAGCACAGCTTTCCGTCACCGAATCTGCAGAGCCTTCAGCGGTACGTGGTGGTGGTGGAATAGGATTGCAGAACTCACTGAGTCACGGTTTGGTGCACCTGTGTTGTGTTGCGTGTGTCTGTGTGCCTTCTGATGAAACTGTGGGGCGGGAGGTCGGTGCTGTGTGCAAATCCTTCCCGCCTCCTGTGCAAAAAGGAAAAAGAGGGAACTGTTACGGGGGGGGGGGATTTGTAATCTCTGCTTTGTATTCTGGATGCTTCCACTTATTAGTAAAGGTAAAGGTTTCCCCCTTGCTCGAAAGCCAGTCGAATCCAACTCTAGGGGGCGGTGCTCATCCACGTTTCCAAGCCGAAGAGCCAGCGCTGTCCGAAGACTTTTCCATGGTCATGACTAAACGCTGAGGTGCACGGACTGCTGTTTCCTTCCCACCGAAGTGGGACCTATTTATCTACTTGCAATTTCTTGCTTTCGAACTGCTAGGTTGGCAGGAGCTGGGGCCGGAGCTGGGGGCTCACTCCGTCACATGGCAACATCACCCCCTTCTCTGTTTTATCCTCACCACCACCCTGCGAGGTAGGTTAGGCAGAGGGCGTGTGGCCGGCCCAAGGTCACCCCGAGAGCTTCCAGGGCAGAGTTTGTGCGCGTGCAGGGTATGTGTGTGTCTCTCTCAGAGCCCCTAGGCTGCCACTGTGCTGGCCGGCAAGGGCACATTTTTCAAATGACTGTGGGCCGTCTGGAATGTGCTTATCAGGAGGAGAGGAATGAATGTTCTGGCGGCCTTTGGAATCAGACTGGGGGCTGCAGAGGAAGGCGGGCGGGCGCTTCCCAGTGGGGGGAGGGGGGACAACCCCTCCTGGAGAAAAGCCCTTCGAGGTCCGCCTGATGTCACCAGGCAAACATGAGGCAGGCGATTAACCTGGGCAAGTTTGGGCCGGTGCAGATACCAAATCTTGCTCCGCTGCACATCTCCGAGGAGCATCCCTCCCAGACGGATTCTTCACGCCTGACACACTCCACCTTCCGAAGTCTTCTCAGGGGGGCAGCCCAGATTTCGAAACAAGGCCCCGCCCTGCCTCTCACCTTTGCCTTCTCTTGGCCTCCTGGAGAATCCCAAAATTCCCCTCTGGGGAGGGTTGCCATCTCTAGGCCAGGAAATTCCTGGAGGTTTTGGGGGACGGCGGGATTTGGTTGGAGATTCCGGGACTGGCAACTTCACGCCCTGGAAGATTTTGGCACTTCAGGGGGTGCCCACTTGGACAGGAAAGTGCACTGGCCCTTTGGCTTAATGGGTTCGTGGCATGTGGACGGGGCAGCACCCTCTGCACGCGCTCAGAGGCGTCCTTGCCTGGCAATGGAGGGGCGGACCAATGTTCCCTCTAAGCTGTGGAGTCTTGTGAGAAATTCTACTTGTGAGCTACCAGCATTAAAGCTGTGAGCAAGTGACTTGGCTACTGCATAAATTAGCTTGCTCTGGAGCCATCCCTTCCTGAGCTAAGGCAAAAATGAGTGAGCTGGAAGCTAAAAAACTATGAGCTAGCTCACACTAACTCAGCTTAGAGGGAACACTGGCGGAGGCGGGATCCCGGACGCCGGCCAGAAACTCGGGCGCGCGCGAAAGAGGTGTGTGTGTGTGGGGGGGGGCGCATTCCAAAGCCATGGGTCACCCGCCGGGCGCGGGGGCTGCTGGGAGTTGTAGTTCTCCCC